AGTGCAGGTCCAAGTGCACAGTTGCTTCTTCGCTGAGCAGGTGGATAAGGCATTATTAGATCTTTCCAGAGACAGCAGGGTGGTAAACAAGGAGTCATAATTAGTCTTTGCCTCAAGTCTGTTTTTTGGTTTTGTTTTTGTTTTTTTTTAAAAAAAAAAAAGGATTTTGGTATTCTAAAGACTTTAAATGAGAACGAGCCCCCCCTAATGGATATTTGTTCTCGTGAAAAAAATTTTTGGAAAGAAAAGTCACCTGCCTCCCATTTTCTGGATATGTTGCTGGTGGATGTCCCTTCGTGGCAAAGGGTTGCCCAGTCGTCTGTGTCTCTTCAGACCATCTAGTTGAGCTTCTGTGATGAACATCCTAGAGTCACATTTGCATGTCGAACCCTCAGTTACTATTACTATGATTAACCCAAAGTCTCCACATATAAAATGTGCCTTAATTTACTGTTGAAAAGAATTGAAGGCCTTGCCAACTACTTCATCCACAGCACTTTATGTAATGTCCATCGTAAGAAAACTTAGACTTCTTCTGCAGGGCCCTCACTTTCCCATCTGCTTCCTCTTCCCTTCTCGAAGTGCTCTGAAGGCCAGTGACTCAGCTGCCCTCTGGCTCTTCCTGCCAGGAAATCTGCTACAGTGTATCTGGTACCCTCCGCTCTTAACATATTTGCATTATCCTCTTTTCCTTGGCTTGGGTTTTGTTTTCATTTTATTAAATTCATTACTGTCTTTTTTGTAAAAGCATTTCAGATCCTTTTGAGAAATAAGCAAGCCATAAAAACAATCTCTTCATTTAGCATCATCGTTAAATAGATAAAACGTTTAAAAGTTTCCAAATAGCCATCGTATGAGAAACAAAAGAGAACAGACTTTAGGCTTAGACTTTGGCTAAAGCTGTGTGAGAGTCCCAGCGCCACCCTTCACTGGTACTGTGGCTTAGGGTGCGCCTTTTCATCTCTCTAATCCTCTATTTACTCCTCTGTAAAGGAGGATTCATAATTCCTGGCTCATAAGGTTTCTTCAAGGATTAAATGAAATGCTCAGAAAATTACAAATGTTTAATTAAAAAACACTAAGGTGTAAATCATTGTAAAGTGTAGCTCATGACACTTGCAAACATGTAACCACTTTCTGTTGGCATTACATTGTATTTTGTACTTTTCTGGTACCTTCCCACAGCATGAGGAATTGCAAGACCTGGTGTGTCACTGGGCGATCAGCAGAGGCCCGCTCAGATAATTGTTTTTATCTACAAAACATATGGTTGGTGCTCAGTTGTCTGTGGTGATGGCGGGGAGGGGAACACATGAATTAAGCATAAATAAATGATAATTTGTGTACTCTCACCACCCTCTCTCATACCCACCTACCTTTTATTTTCATTCTTCCTCTTCCTTTCCAGGGCCAATGCCCTTGGGATCCCCATCTTCTTTTTCCTGGAACCCCTCAGCCCTTCCCCCTCCTCCTCGCTTCCTACCTAGTTCTCTCTTGGAAATAGAGATCTCATGTCCTGTCCCTGGTTAAAAACCTTTCCACGCTATAAATAAATAAAGCCAGCAGGGCTTGGCATGACATGTAAATAACACGGGCACAAAGTACTTTTCTAATTTCATCACCTGCGTGCGCGTGCGCGCGCGCGCGCGCGCGCACACGCACACACACACACACACACACACACACACAAGGGGTTTCTAACATTTTGAAAAAGTTTTCTGCATAAAGTTATTTATAATACCTCTTATTTCCCACCCCAACGTTTTATGTTGAAAATCTCAAATCTGCAGGAAAAAAATGGAAAAATATCCTCACCTAGATTCACTAATTCTTTAGCATCGTGCCACATTTTCCCTTCCTCTCCCTCCCGCTCCCTTCTCTTTTTCATTTTGACCCAAGTGTTGAAAGTTAGACACCCTGAGCCTTCGTCTCCACACACCTGGCATGTATCTCCTAAGACAGACATTCTCAGTGTAGCCACAAAGCCATTATCATGTCTATAATACACACAAGTCCCCACTATTCTATTTAGACATATTCACATTTCCCCAGTTATCTGAGCCGGTGTCATCCCGTCCTCCTCCTCATCTAGGATCCAGTCGAGATTCACACACTGTGTCTTTAGTGTCTCTTAATACGGAATAGTTCTGTCCCATCCCTCCCCCTGTACATTTTTTAGTATCCAGGCTAGTTGTCTTTAGCGCACATTATGGATTTTTCGTTTTGTTTCTTTAACCTCCGCATTTCCTATAAACCAGAATTTAGTTGTAGAGGTCTCTGTCTCTCTACTGCTTCTAAAACAACTTGCAGGTGCGGGGGGCGGGTTCATTTCCTTGCCTTTTCCACCTTTAGCAAGAGGGGCCCGGATGGGCAAGTAGGAAGCCCCGAATGTTGCTTGGCCGGTTCTTTCCACACATTGTCCGAGGGGCCTGCTCTGAGCAGGCTCTGTTCTAGGTACGGGGAATCCTGCCGCGAAGAAACCGGCTTCCATTCTGTTGGGGAGGTGCCCAGGGGGATTAATAAGAAACATAAGAGCATGAAGCATGAGGGGTGGGCAGAGCGGCGACCTTTTCAGTTGGGCGATTAGTGAAGTTCTGTCCGGGGGGTGGGGACGGGTAAAATTTGTGTAGAGGTCTGGAAAAGAGAGCTAGAGAAGACAAGCGAGGAGAGGGGGAGGGCGAGGCGAGGGAGGCCAGGCGACCCGGGGAAAGCGCTGGGGCAGCCCCGGCCCTGCTGTGGTTCCCGGGTCGGTCCGCCTAGCTTCTCCCCGTGGTCCTCGCCGAGCGCTGGGGTCGCGCTGGGAGGCCGGTTCTATTACGTACCGTATTTCCTCATTTATACCGCACCATTTCAGTGGCTGATCACGTTAGACACTGATTGCGGGCGCGGGGGTTGGGGGAGGGGGCGGGTGTTGACTGCTGAAAAAAGAACTCGCCTGTTTATTTACAGATCAACTCGAAAACCCATCTCACTTATTTCCAAATCGACTTTAAAACCCATCTTCATTTCAGAAACTTAAGCATATGAAAAAAGTGTTCTGTTTTGAATCAAAGAAGTACTTGCTTCCCCTTTATTTTGGGAACTACAGCTGGCTAGTTTCAGAAAGAGGTGTGACTGAAAGGCTTCTACCTCTGTAACAAACGATAAATAAGTTGAAGGTCCAACTGGGAGCCTGCAGGACAAAACACACAGATGAGCTGTGGCAGAGATGCCTGTGGGTGACAGTTAAGAGGGAGACTCTTGAGATTTCTTAGAACATTTCCTCCCCCCAGAAGTGCTCCCTAATTCACATTACTCCCCCTTCCTCAAACTGTAAACTCATACACCTTTTCTCTAAAGTCCTAGGCAGTGGTGTCCAAGTGGCAGCGTTTCAAAAGTACACAGATCACATGGGAGCACCCTGCCTACATTGGGTCCCCAGAGAATTTCCTGGAAAGAGTCCAGGGAAGTCTGTTCTATTGAGTCTAGGTGATTCTGGTGTTCTTTCAGGTTTGGGAACCATTACTTGCCCTATAGAAACTTTCAGTGGATGGAGTTCACAGCAGATTTTGTTTTCAATATATAGATTTAACCAAGAGGCTATACTGGAAGGCAAGATTCATGTCTGATTGCAGTTTTTAAAATCATCTTTTTAGTCCCCAGAGTCCTTCATGTGGTGCATCCGAGTATCAATTGAATAAACAGATAAGAAAGTTTAGCAGGTAGAAGAATGTTTATGTCACTCTGCACTGGTCAAGAAGAAGGCCCTTTCTGTCTACGATTTTTCCTCTGAAGTTTTATGCACAGTCATGGTTTGCTGATACCATCATTTGTGTCTCAGGCTCTTCTAGTTTCCACACTCATGTAACCTACTAGGGAGCCTACTGGATTCGGTCATTTAGATGTTCCTACAAGCATCTTTTCTTCCATACCTGTGTCTCCTCTTTTATTTCCAGTCTTGGTGAGGACCACCATCACTTTCCCAGGCCTCAGGCCGCATTCAGTTGGAGCCGGGTTCTGTGCATTCTCGTTCTTAATCATGTTTGCCTTTGAAGCCTCAAGCCCCCTCACTTCACCTTTCACATTGTGTCATCCATCTTGGAGGTGGGAGGAGACAAATGAATAAATTTCCGAGCATGGCACCCAAGGTGTGCCTCTCTTTCCTCTCCAGCCTAACTCCTGGCCTTCCCTCCCTGCTCTTTGGCTACAGCAGGGGTCCCTAACCCCTGGGCCTTGGACCAGTACCTGTCCGTGGCCTGTTAGGAACTGGACTGCACAACAGGAGGTGGGCAGCAGACAAGCAAGTGGAAGCTTCTTCTGTATTCGTGCTGCTCCCCAGTGCTAGCATCACCGCCTCAGCTCCACTTCAGATCATCAGGCATTAGATTCTCATAGGAGCATGGGTCCCTGGTGTCAAAAAGGTTGGGGACTGATGGGCTACAAGGTTTTGCATTATAGACCTAGTTCCCAGAAGGGATCTGCTTGAACTACTTCCCTGAAGGGTGAGACTGAACCAGTTCCTTAAAGGGGCCATGTTATCTCAGGGTCAATACTCTGCATGTGAAGTTCCTTCTTCCTGGAATTCCTTTACTGACTTTGCCACCTGGCTGACATCATTTCTGTTTTGACTCACAGAACATTCTTTCAGAATGCTCCTCCTGCCTACCGCCTTTTCCTCTTTGCCTGAGTTAGATGCCTTTTCCTAGGCCCGGTGCATTCTATATCATTGGCTCTCCACTACTATAAACTTAATTCACACATCTTTGCCACAAAAATATGAGCATCTTTAGAGCAGAGATTATGTCTTGCTAACATAAAATTGATTCTTCATAAATAGTTGTCAAGTGAATGAATATACAAGCAAACCAGTTTGTGAACAGTATCCACATTTGAGTTCGTTAAACTATCTATGATAAGGAATAAAAATATAATCTTTTATTTTTCATGAATGGAGAGATTTTGGTGGCTTGAAGCCAGTTCTAGAATGGTAAAACAATGTCATTGCTTTTATATTCCAACAGGAAATATGGGATGTATAAAATCAAAAAGGAAAGACAATCTGAATGACGATGGAGTAGATTTGAAGACGCAACCAGTACGTAATACTGACCGAACTATTTATGTGAGAGATCCAACGTCCAATAAACAGCAAAGGCCAGTAAGTAGATAGTCTCAGGGGAGAATTCCCACAGCAGGATCAAAGCATGATTTAAACACCAAATCTATAACATGTGCATGCAAAAAATCACATCAGTTACTTGGGCCTGGATTTTTGATATGCTTTGTACCTTAATCCTTTAAAGATCTTGCAAGCATTTGAAGGATAACAAGGTCACTTAGTGTAAAATAAAACGACCTTTGGGCACTTTTTTGTGTGTAGAGAAAATCATCTTCCATCTCACTGGTACAAATACCCACTCTTTATACATAAAGATATACAGTCTATTTACCTGAGCTTGTATCACTTAGGACAGATAGTGAGATTAGTGCAATGGTCTGCAAGCAGAAGGACATTCTGCATTCAAGTTAGATGCTAAAATAGTGCTAATATGTCATTTGGCACATTATACTTTATCCCATCTCATCATTTTTCAGTTAACTCATAATAGTGCAGATACTGAAGTTTTCATGACATTGTAATTAAGAGATTTTTTAAAACACAGCTAATTCTGCCCACTAACCTTGAACAAATATCTACCAGAAATATATATGAGTGATGGACATGCTATTCAATGCATTTGAGAATGCTTGGCAAAGGAAGAACTACTATCACATTTTAAGGAAAAGAAGAACAGAGCTTTGGATAATTACAGCCTTAACTGCGCTTTATCTCAGCTCTTATATGTTTTCCATCTATTCACTCACTATAT